AAAACACCCACACCACCAAAGAAAGCTGCAGCAACAATTAAAAGGAGAAGCGGTGCTATAAACTGGAGAGAGAGGAATTTCGCCACAGCCAAATCAAATAGGAGACAGGGAGGCGATTAAAAAACGGAGACGACACAACTTGAGGACCCGCTACAAATTAAAAGCCAGGGTATTTATACCTATACGTATCGACCTTAAAATTTTAAAAATTTAAAAAAAAAGAAAAACCATGTCAAATTTCACACTTCCTGACCATTTATCTGACGACGAGATCATCTCAATCATCTCGTCCATGTCAGACGACTCTGTAGTAAGCGTCAGCAATTCTCTACTAGACAGATTGATCGCGCGGTCAGGGAAAAATATAATTAAAAACGTAATATACCCTCCCAAAACTGCCATAAAAACTGCCAATTCCCCTACACATAAGGGGAAAGAGAGTGAGAACACCCAGAATGCCCAAGCAAACCCCCTCTCGCACACCAATACCAATGCAGACACCATTGGCGCCAAAGGTGGCGTCTCTTTGCTTTCCCCTCTTCACACAGGCATGGGGAACGATCTCTCCACAGTAACCCATACTAAGGCTACTGTTCCCACTGCCGTGGATGATTCTCGAAGAGAGAATCAAACAGAAATTGCCCCACACACTAACACAGCCGCAGCAACGAATACGGACGCAGACGACAAAGGCAACTCCAATGACAACGCTTTGGAGATTTTCCCCACACTGCCACAAAGAGAAAACAGCTTGGAGAATAACCTCAGCACCTCCACCAAGATCGGTGCCCACGACACTTCTCCCCTCTCTCACTCACACATACACACAAACAAGGCTACCAACTCAAACCCAGGCAGCCGCTCTATTTTTCCCTCTCTTAAATACACGGACTCACACAATAATAAAGCAAATGAAACTGACATCGGGAAAAAAATCTCCCCACATACAAACACAGATAAATGCAGCGACACTAATCAAGGGGATATCCAACAAACTCGTAACTATTATTTGCTGAATTCAAATCCCAAACCGGACCTATCTAAACCTACTCTAAAAAAGAAACCCACACAGCCTGCTGAAATTTCCGGGAAAGCAGCAGTTTCCCCCCCCCAAAAAAGGCTTCCTCCTACCCACTCGGCCCAGGTTAACTCTAAACTTAACATTAACTCAAAGCCCAAAATTAACCCCACGCCTACGGCTGAAAATCAGCCACCAACCCGCACCCCCAAACGACCAGCAACCAGAAGGGGCCTATTTATTCAAACACCCACGAACACTGACGAGCAGCCCAGGAGTTTTTCTGAAGTCGTATCCGGTACCAAACAAGGTGTAATGCCACACACCGGCAAAACACCTCTGAAGAAAACTCCCGGGAAAAGGACAAACGGGGACCTCGACTGTTCAGCTTTTAAAACGCCTAATAAAAGGGCCCGCGGACCTGCTACTACCATGTCTGCTAGCAGATCCCCCCCCCTCACCACACCCGTTTTTAAAAGCAAAACAGCGAAAACAATAGTCAAGGAAACTAGACCCAAAACTGCACACCCACCCACCGCACCCATACGCCAAAAGGTCGCCCCCACCTGCAACCCACAAGCGCCTGTTGGGAGCATACCCCCACCCACCCAGCGCCCTACCGACAGCCTGCCCCCCTGGCAAGTAGTGCCCCGCAGCAGACGCCCACCCCCCCTCCTAGTTGACAATGTCAACGAAATATTGCCGTTGCTGGAAAAACTTAACTACACAGCAGGAGTGTCCAGCTTCACAACTAAATCGACGACAGGAAACGGCATCCGAATTCAAGCCAAAGACATGGAAGCCCACAACAAAATTAAAGATATCCTAACATCGAGCGGCATCCCCTCCCACACAAATCAGGCTAAGTCTGAGAGAGGCTTCAGAGTGGTCATCAGGCACCTCCACCACTCCACCCCCTGCCAATGGATAGTCGGCGAGCTCCAAAAGCTCGGCTTCCAGACCATCTTCGCCAAAAACATGCTAAACCCAGCTACAGGAGGCCCAATGAAAATCTTCGAGGCGGAGATCTCTTTCACCATCGACGGCAGCCACAAAAAGATCCTCACGTTAAGACAACTCGGCGGGCAGAAGATCGAGGTCGAGCGCAAAAATAGGACAAGGGAGCCGGTTCAGTGCTTCAATTGCCAGGGTTTCAGGCACGCCAGAAACTCCTGCATGAAGCCGCCAAGATGCATGAAATGCGCCGGGCACCATTTGTCCAATCAATGCACCAAGCCCAGATCCACCCCCGCATCATGCGCAAATTGTTCAGGCGAACATATAAGCGCCTACAAAGGCTGCCCCACCTACAAGGCGGAAAAAAGAAAGCTGGCTGTAAATAACATTGATTTCAATAAAATAAGAACAATCAAGGATGCAGCAAGAAATGTAAATGAACGACAGGTCCCGACATCTCGAAAAAATTTCCCAAGACTGCCCTACAGCACAGATTTCAGCAGCAAATCACCTACATTTACACGCCAGGAAGCCTCAAGTCGAGAAAGGAGTAACCCTTTCGACGCTAGAAACAAGGACGCGAGGTCCTTCCAGCCCAGGACCTCCTCACACGACGCGGCTATACGAAAAAGGATAAATAGGTGGCGAAAAAGCACCGGCAAAGGGTCAAAAAAAGACAACTCAAAACCGCAACAGTCAAACAGGAACAAAAACGCAGCCAGCAGACACTTGGCTAAATTCCAAGAGAACTTACAAAAACAAACACCCCCCAGTCGAAAAAGGCCACCCACAACCAGCCTAGCTGCTAGAGCCCTATTAAAACCCAGAGGCACAGCAGAAGCTACAAACACCCCCTCCCCCACCCCCATGGACGCGCAATCATATATGCAAGCAAGCCTTGCTGACAACTCATACTCCAATTTAGCATGTCGAGTAGAAAACCTAGAAACGAAATTAAACAAACTGACGGACATTCTAACCAAATTATTGGAGGTCCAAACAAACACTAATAATTAAATAATAACAATTAATAATTATTTAACACAGATCTTTAATCAAATTAAATTCATAGACAAAGGAAGGGTATATCACATATTAAAACATACAAAACTCATAAAATATACAAAACTTATAAAATAAAACTTAAAATATAAATTGTCCAGACGATCGAGACTGCTGCTCCACTTCCACTCGACACCGAGACATAAAAGACAAGGCTCTAGCCCGGCCCTGCTTCTCCAAGATTGGGCATCTAGACTGCAGCAGCCTGTAAACCTAAAACAAACAAATAAAATAAATTAGCAAAGATACAAAGATCACACAAAATAACATTCTTACCCTTCCCTCTCCATTGCCAAAGAAGCTGTGAATCAAGCAGCCAACCTCCAACTCGTTCCAATAGACCTGAAAACAAAGAAAATAAAAATTAAATATTATTCAGAACACCCGAAACTTCAAAATCCTTACCTGTAACCCCTGCCGTAAGACTCCTAAATTACATCCTGGCGTCTCACACCTCGCTCCTGTGGACCTGAAAAGAAAAGAAAATTTAAATTAATCCAAATTAAAAACAGCCGGAAAATTAAGGGGGCTCTTCTGTAAATCGACGCAAGACACTCCGGAGGGTTCTAAACCAACCCTGCAGCTGAGTCTTGAGACGACAAAATAACTCTGACTACTGCCATGTAATTGCAGATACTTTACTACTCACACTGAAAGTGGAGCTCCTACTGCAGATGTGTTCGCCGGGCCCTGCTCGATCACACCGCTGCATCCTGGCGACAACATGCTGCAAAGGACCCACTCAGGCCGAGCTCCCTGCCACAGGACGGATATCTAAAATCTAGAAAAAATAATAATTAAATTAGTAACAAATTAATTGAAAAATAACAGCCACTTACCCAAGTCCAAATTCATCTCTAGCTCCCGTTGACCTGAAAATAAAGAAAAATATTAAATTAAAATGCACACACTAAAATTGGAGCACCCACGGCTACTGCCATGCAAATGCAGACATTTTACTACTCACACTGAAAGTAGAGCTTCCACTGCAGATGTGTTCGCCGGGCCCTGCTCGATCACACCGCTGCATCCTGGCGACTGCATGCTGCAAAGGATCCACTTAGGCCGAGCTTCCTGCCACAGGACGGATATTTGAAAACCTAGAAAAAAAAATATTCAAATTAGTAGCAAATTAATTGAAAAATAACAGCCACTTACCCAAGTCCAATATCATCTCTAGCTCCTGTTGACCTGAAAATAAAGAAAAATATTAAATTAAAACACTCACACTAAAATTGGAGCACCCACGACTACTGCCATGTAAAAGCAGAAAGTTTACTACTCACACTGAAAGTGGAGCTCCTGCTGCAGATATGTTCGCCGGGCCCTGCTCGATCATACCGCTGCATCCTGGCGATAACATATTGCAAAGGACCCACTTAGGCCGAGTTTCTTGCCACAGGACTTATATTGAAAACCTAGAAAAAAAATATTCAAATTAGTAGCAAATTAATTGAAAAATAACAGCCACTTACCCAAGTCCAATACCATCTCTAGCTCCTGTTGACCTGTAAATAAAGAAAAATATTAAATTAAAAATACTCACACTAAAATTGGAGCACCCACGGCACGATCTGATTGCTGGGCTCTGCTCGATTCGTCGTAGCATCCTGGCGACAGCTTCCTGCAGGGGGTACACCCAGGACGCAAAGCTGAAATTAACAGACAACATTAAATCAAAATTTGCATATTGAAATTGTAGCACCTACGCACGATCTGCTTGCTGGGCTCTGCTCGATCCGTCGTAGCATCCTGGCGACAGCTTCCTGCAAGGGGCACACCCAGGACGCAATGCTGAAATTAACAGACACACATTAAACTAAAATACGCACATTGAACTTGAGCTCCTACCGCACGATCTGCTCACCGGGCTCTGCTCGACTCGTCGCAGCATCCTGGCGACAGTCTCCTGCAAAGAGCTCACCCTGAACGCACTCTCTGCCATGACGAGGACTGAAAGATAAGGAAAAACAAATCAAATCAGTCAACAAACAAATTAAATACACATTAGTCACTTACTTAATCTTAATATCATCCTTTCCACGACTTTGGACGATGCGACGACTACATTCCTACGCACTGACACAGCTTGCTAAAAAAGAACGAAAAATTAAACAAGCAAAACACCTGCATATAATATTATATATATTTATTTACTCACCCAATTTTGTATGAATGCATTTCATATCCTGTCGACGAGACGGCCACGACAATTTATTCCTGGCCTGGTGGCTCCAAGTAACTGCTCCAGCAGCGGCGCCCACTCAAGGCAGCGGCCCAGAGGCACCCAGATGACTCACTGTGGGGAGACGTATCCCCACCCACATGAACCGCCAGAAACACCGATGACCCTCAGTTTGCCGGAGGCGGCAACCCATGGCAAGGAACCGGGCCATCCAGCGCTGCTGAGACGACCCACGACCTCGGAACCAGGGCCCCGAGGCTCCAAGAAGCCACTTCAGGCGAAGTGGAACTGGACGCGGAACCCCGGACTCACCCAAGGACTGACGGATGCGTAGGAAGCAGCTGTTTTTCTTCCGGCGATGACCCAGGAATCCACCAGCGACACGGCGCTCCCGTCCTTCAGGCGGGGGTACCTGAAATTATAAAGTAAAAATACAATTGTTAAATCTTTGCAAACACTTTGCACAACTCAAAATGTAAACAAACAAACAAACATATGTTAATGTTACCTACTCACGCCAATGTACAAAGAAAATACTAACCTAGTATACTTACCTTTTACTAACATTATTGTCCATTTCCAAAACTCACCTCCACAATGTTAAACTCAAAAATGTAAATTCTTGTACCTATATATTGCATATCTATGTAATCAAAGGCAAATAAATTGTGGAAACGGTTCAGAATATTTCTGATTCTGCTCCGTCCCTCCACCATGCAAAGTAAAACCATGCAAAGTAAATAAGTTAATTAAATATAAATAAATAAATTATAAATAAATAAATAAATAAATTTATTAATAAATAAATTAATAAATAATTAAATAAACAAATAAATTAAATAAATTAAATAAATAAAAATAAAATTGAAAAACAGTCTAAGCAAATCACAAAGTTTACATATACTAACCGGAGAATCATTTAAACAATTAAAACAGACAATCTAACGCAAAAGAAATAAAACCGCGAAATCTCGGCATCATCCACACAAACAAAAGAAAGCTGCAGCATAATTAAAAGGAAAAGAGGTGCTATAAAAAAGTTGAGAACAGCCAAGGCAACATACAAAGCAAATGCAACTAAAGTGAAGTAACAATTAAACATAAATAAAAGACACTCACACGCAAAAGAACTTAAACCGCGAAAACTCGGCATCACCCACACCACCAAAGAAAGCTGCAGCAACAATTAAAAGGAGAAGCGGTGCTATAAACTGGAGAGAGAGGAATTTCGCCACAGCCAAATCAAATAGGAGACAGGGAGGCGATTAAAAAACGGAGACGACACAACTTGAGGACCCGCTACAAATTAAAAGCCAGGGTATTTATACCTATACGTATCGACCTTAAAATTTTAAAAATTTAAAAAAAAAGAAAAACCATGTCAAATTTCACACTTCCTGACCATTTATCTGACGACGAGATCATCTCAATCATCTCGTCCATGTCAGACGACTCTGTAGTAAGCGTCAGCAATTCTCTACTAGACAGATTGATCGCGCGGTCAGGGAAAAATATAATTAAAAACGTAATATACCCTCCCAAAACTGCCATAAAAACTGCCAATTCCCCTACACATAAGGGGAAAGAGAGTGAGAACACCCAGAATGCCCAAGCAAACCCCCTCTCGCACACCAATACCAATGCAGACACCATTGGCGCCAAAGGTGGCGTCTCTTTGCTTTCCCCTCTTCACACAGGCATGGGGAACGATCTCTCCACAGTAACCCATACTAAGGCTACTGTTCCCACTGCCGTGGATGATTCTCGAAGAGAGAATCAAACAGAAATTGCCCCACACACTAACACAGCCGCAGCAACGAATACGGACGCAGACGACAAAGGCAACTCCAATGACAACGCTTTGGAGATTTTCCCCACACTGCCACAAAGAGAAAACAGCTTGGAGAATAACCTCAGCACCTCCACCAAGATCGGTGCCCACGACACTTCTCCCCTCTCTCACTCACACATACACACAAACAAGGCTACCAACTCAAACCCAGGCAGCCGCTCTATTTTTCCCTCTCTTAAATACACGGACTCACACAATAATAAAGCAAATGAAACTGACATCGGGAAAAAAATCTCCCCACATACAAACACAGATAAATGCAGCGACACTAATCAAGGGGATATCCAACAAACTCGTAACTATTATTTGCTGAATTCAAATCCCAAACCGGACCTATCTAAACCTACTCTAAAAAAGAAACCCACACAGCCTGCTGAAATTTCCGGGAAAGCAGCAGTTTCCCCCCCCCAAAAAAGGCTTCCTCCTACCCACTCGGCCCAGGTTAACTCTAAACTTAACATTAACTCAAAGCCCAAAATTAACCCCACGCCTACGGCTGAAAATCAGCCACCAACCCGCACCCCCAAACGACCAGCAACCAGAAGGGGCCTATTTATTCAAACACCCACGAACACTGACGAGCAGCCCAGGAGTTTTTCTGAAGTCGTATCCGGTACCAAACAAGGTGTAATGCCACACACCGGCAAAACACCTCTGAAGAAAACTCCCGGGAAAAGGACAAACGGGGACCTCGACTGTTCAGCTTTTAAAACGCCTAATAAAAGGGCCCGCGGACCTGCTACTACCATGTCTGCTAGCAGATCCCCCCCCCTCACCACACCCGTTTTTAAAAGCAAAACAGCGAAAACAATAGTCAAGGAAACTAGACCCAAAACTGCACACCCACCCACCGCACCCATACGCCAAAAGGTCGCCCCCACCTGCAACCCACAAGCGCCTGTTGGGAGCATACCCCCACCCACCCAGCGCCCTACCGACAGCCTGCCCCCCTGGCAAGTAGTGCCCCGCAGCAGACGCCCACCCCCCCTCCTAGTTGACAATGTCAACGAAATATTGCCGTTGCTGGAAAAACTTAACTACACAGCAGGAGTGTCCAGCTTCACAACTAAATCGACGACAGGAAACGGCATCCGAATTCAAGCCAAAGACATGGAAGCCCACAACAAAATTAAAGATATCCTAACATCGAGCGGCATCCCCTCCCACACAAATCAGGCTAAGTCTGAGAGAGGCTTCAGAGTGGTCATCAGGCACCTCCACCACTCCACCCCCTGCCAATGGATAGTCGGCGAGCTCCAAAAGCTCGGCTTCCAGACCATCTTCGCCAAAAACATGCTAAACCCAGCTACAGGAGGCCCAATGAAAATCTTCGAGGCGGAGATCTCTTTCACCATCGACGGCAGCCACAAAAAGATCCTCACGTTAAGACAACTCGGCGGGCAGAAGATCGAGGTCGAGCGCAAAAATAGGACAAGGGAGCCGGTTCAGTGCTTCAATTGCCAGGGTTTCAGGCACGCCAGAAACTCCTGCATGAAGCCGCCAAGATGCATGAAATGCGCCGGGCACCATTTGTCCAATCAATGCACCAAGCCCAGATCCACCCCCGCATCATGCGCAAATTGTTCAGGCGAACATATAAGCGCCTACAAAGGCTGCCCCACCTACAAGGCGGAAAAAAGAAAGCTGGCTGTAAATAACATTGATTTCAATAAAATAAGAACAATCAAGGATGCAGCAAGAAATGTAAATGAACGACAGGTCCCGACATCTCGAAAAAATTTCCCAAGACTGCCCTACAGCACAGATTTCAGCAGCAAATCACCTACATTTACACGCCAGGAAGCCTCAAGTCGAGAAAGGAGTAACCCTTTCGACGCTAGAAACAAGGACGCGAGGTCCTTCCAGCCCAGGACCTCCTCACACGACGCGGCTATACGAAAAAGGATAAATAGGTGGCGAAAAAGCACCGGCAAAGGGTCAAAAAAAGACAACTCAAAACCGCAACAGTCAAACAGGAACAAAAACGCAGCCAGCAGACACTTGGCTAAATTCCAAGAGAACTTACAAAAACAAACACCCCCCAGTCGAAAAAGGCCACCCACAACCAGCCTAGCTGCTAGAGCCCTATTAAAACCCAGAGGCACAGCAGAAGCTACAAACACCCCCTCCCCCACCCCCATGGACGCGCAATCATATATGCAAGCAAGCCTTGCTGACAACTCATACTCCAATTTAGCATGTCGAGTAGAAAACCTAGAAACGAAATTAAACAAACTGACGGACATTCTAACCAAATTATTGGAGGTCCAAACAAACACTAATAATTAAATAATAACAATTAATAATTATTTAACACAGATCTTTAATCAAATTAAATTCATAGACAAAGGAAGGGTATATCACATATTAAAACATACAAAACTCATAAAATATACAAAACTTATAAAATAAAACTTAAAATATAAATTGTCCAGACGATCGAGACTGCTGCTCCACTTCCACTCGACACCGAGACATAAAAGACAAGGCTCTAGCCCGGCCCTGCTTCTCCAAGATTGGGCATCTAGACTGCAGCAGCCTGTAAACCTAAAACAAACAAATAAAATAAATTAGCAAAGATACAAAGATCACACAAAATAACATTCTTACCCTTCCCTCTCCATTGCCAAAGAAGCTGTGAATCAAGCAGCCAACCTCCAACTCGTTCCAATAGACCTGAAAACAAAGAAAATAAAAATTAAATATTATTCAGAACACCCGAAACTTCAAAATCCTTACCTGTAACCCCTGCCGTAAGACTCCTAAATTACATCCTGGCGTCTCACACCTCGCTCCTGTGGACCTGAAAAGAAAAGAAAATTTAAATTAATCCAAATTAAAAACAGCCGGAAAATTAAGGGGGCTCTTCTGTAAATCGACGCAAGACACTCCGGAGGGTTCTAAACCAACCCTGCAGCTGAGTCTTGAGACGACAAAATAACTCTGACTACTGCCATGTAATTGCAGATACTTTACTACTCACACTGAAAGTGGAGCTCCTACTGCAGATGTGTTCGCCGGGCCCTGCTCGATCACACCGCTGCATCCTG